TATTAAACCATGTTGCAAACCCCTATGGAATAGATCTTTCCGCTCTTGGAGCCGCATGCATTAACACCCTCACCGGGGAAGGGATCGCAGCTTAGCGGAATGCTTCATATTCTTAAACTGCAAGCTTCTAATTACACGCCCTACCTACCCGTCCGTAAGTAGTCCCTTCATCTTTCACTATGACATGTTGAACAGGAGCGAGAAGCTGTACAAGCGTTATTTTTCAGCTTTTTGTATGATACCCGATGAGCCCAGGCTGCCGACGGTCTTTTCTTCGAAATCGTTTTTCTTTTTTCGAAGTTAACGAAAAGCTTCCAAAGTTGTACAGATCACGTAACTCAACGGCGCTAAGCATGCTGCTGATAAGCTCATACGAATGCTGTACAATGCGGATTAGTTTCTCCTTTTCGATATGTTCATAGTAAAGGATGGTGCAAGTGCTTATGGATAGATGGACAGCGTGAAGTCCAAACATTTGGAACTTCAGGATATGAAGCTTTCTTTTGAGATCCTGATCCCCTCTTAGCGAGGATGTTAGCGCATACGACCCTAGAAAGTAATGACTCATATTATCGCAGAAAGTCTCTGATAAAGAATGATTGCAGCATTCTGTGGCATAAACTTGAAATCAAAACCTTTAGCAATTCATGAGTTATAGCAGTGCAAACTTAGGCTAGAAGACTTTTGAGACACCCTGCACTCCGACATTTAGAACATATCCCTTGTTTTTTACTACCTCCAAATTGCACTCAATTTGAAACTCGCAATGTTTAATCACTATTAAGGGCTTGACAGTTTGCATCCGATCGCAAAAAAAACCTATTTAGTGCGCCCTCAAACATAGTGCAGGCCATTTGAAAACTGATGTAAAGCGAAAAAAGGACCACTACAAACTTTATGTAGCAGTGGCGTAATCAAAATATTTCGTTCGCGGAGGGAGGGGGTGCAACAAAAAATTTTTGTCTTATAAAAGTGCGTGCGTCGGTCATGCATTCCGAATGAAATTTTAGTGTGTTCTCTAAGATTTTCTGGGCTCATAATCTTGAATTTTCAGAAAAAGCGGCGTGGAGTTAACCACGCTCCCCGAAAAACTTTTATGAGACTAAAACGATTATTTTTAATTTGAAAAATTTCAGTTCACGTATAAACAAGTCATTTGCACATTTTTACAACTCATGTAAGTGGTTTTGGGAGCGGGGGGGGGGGGGAGGGGAAGTGAAGAGTGGGAAGTGCTATATACCTGTTCTTGAGTAATCACAAATTTGGCAGGGTCGTCTGTCGAACGTGCTTCAAACTGACCATGAGGATAGAAGTACCGAGAGTTTCTTTTGTATGTTATAGTGGCATTAAAGTAATTCCGTGGAGCCTGAAACAGTACATTTCTACATCAACTCTATGAAATATCTGGAGTACTTTGTTACATTGAGTAGCTTCATAATTTGAATTAGGAAAGCATAATCACTGAGCAAAAACAAACAAAAGTTCGGCAAGCTGATCTAGTGCACATAGAATTGTGATTTGAACCAAAATGAGCAAAAACTTCGTGCTGGATTATAGCGGCTTCATTGGGTAGCACCTTCAGAGCTCCTAATAGCGACACTTTGCTTGCACAAAAGAATGGACTTTGCAGGTCTTTTTGAAAGCTTTTTGAAATCCTTTCGTTACTTGTACTCCTCCGCTTCATGCAATAGCTTTTATGCTACCTCCCCCCCCCCCTCCCCCACATGCAAAGCTCTCACGTTTTCATGTTTGCAATATGGGGCAGTTAGAGGTGGTCTGACTAAGGATAGGAGAGAAATTCTGAGAATAAAGAGGAAAGTGCTACAATGTAAGAAAAAGAGAATTAGTAGTTCGAAAAGAGTTACGTGCTCACAAAACATAAATGCTAGTTCAGAGGATGCCGAACAATGGATTTGTGTTGTGAAAAACGGCAGACAAAACAGCAACATTTGCCGAATATCAGCAAGCTGCAAGATAACACTTATATTCTGATCAACATGTCAAACTACTTCTGTTCACTGCATAAAAGTTTTAGTTTTTTTTTTCTAACGCATAGAAATGATCGAATAAAACCAACTATATTGAAATTAAAGGGCTTTTTTGAGCTCATAACTACAAAATTCTTTCCATATTATGCTGAAACTACTCTGCATGATGGTCGGTAAGTACGAGCGTTACAATGTCTAATGTATCTTTTTCTGAAATACTTTATCATGACGGTTAATATGCATGTAACTCATGGACATCCTCTAATTAAGATATACGACTATCGCGCGAACTGATCTCTTCTAATACAAACGGAATTCTGGAGTCTATTTCCACTTGAAAGGAGCTGCGGCGCGATCAGTCAGAACCAGGTTCACAGTACCGCATTTTATTTCTGAGAGAAGAAATTTCTGCTGTTACGGCACTATGTTATTCCTTAGACTATGCTCTACAAAACCTTATGCCTTGGAAACTATTGAATTCGCAAAGAGATTATCAGCTGGGGCTTGCAAGGGTGCTCTTCACGCAGCATTTCTGATGCATTAGCTTCAGGATAAGCTGCCATATGCTGTCTGTGTGCATATGCAGAAGCACACTTTTATAGTATATGTTAACATATTTTTGTTCTTGGCATGTAACAATAATCCTACAAAATCTCATCCTTCATGTAAAATTTTGCAATAAAAAACGTGACGCCCATACTTTTCGGCCACCCTGTATATCGTTTTTTGATAGTGAAAAAAGTGCAGAATAAAAAAACATCAACGACAAAAGGGGTGGCGGTCAAGAATAACGATAGCTCTGCCAGCCGCTAACTGCCAACTGCTCGCTCGCGCAGAACAGCCCGCCTTCACTCATTTATGAAATCGAAAAAAATGATTTAAACTTCAGTTCTTTTCATTAAAGTTCGTTTCCTATATCAATCATTGAAGCTTACATAATTCACATGCTGAATTGGGCACGAACCAGAGTTCTATCGCGAATCCTATATCAATCATTAAAGCTTACATGTTTATTTCCATTCGTAAAAAATAGCAGAAGCCTTAACATAAAGCTTACATGAAGAAGCACAACGCTTCGGGCATTTACTGCTCCAAAATGTGGTGTCTGCGTAAACTCGTCCGCTGCTAGGGAGATGCTACTTGTACACCGTTTATTGACACCTGGCCACTCAGGGTGCCACTATTGACAGCTATCGTTATTCTTGACATATACCCGTCTTTTTTCTTCTTAATTAGTGGAGTTTTTGGCGACAAAATTATCATAATTCCTGATGAACCCGCCTTATGCTGTAGTAGAATGCAAGATTCGATATTTCGAAGGTAGAAACACTCTGGTGTTCTGTAAAATTGGTGTGTTATCGTAATCGATCCTTGCAAGTTTCTAATCCGACGGTTTATTAGTGTTTGGAGCCTTTGTGTACCTTGCGACTTCGCAAATTTGAAGATTTTTGCATTTGGAACATACACACATATGCACATATATAAGATAGATAGACCACCAGACGTACAGCTTCTTGTAGATTATTGAAAAAAAATCGTTGATTTCAAATTTATTGTCTTTTTTATCACTTATTACAAAACCTCACCTGTCCCCACCGCAAGCATGACAACAATATATTCACACAGAAATCGCAATAATTCAAAAACAGTGCGATTTTTTTATTTTCATAAAAAAAGAACCACCCCACCACAATTTTCTTTTTTTCTGTTGCAAAACGGCTTATTTTTCATAAGTAATTGATAGAGGCAATGTGTAAGACCTACGAAAAGATAATTGTGAATTAGTAGGCAGATGATAATCCGATAAATGTGTGATTAATGAACGATTTTGACAGGGATCCGGTAAGCATTATGCTATTGTTATCATGTTATGAGATAATACTCGTACTATTTAGCACAACAAGCCAGAAAAATGACTTCTGCGCTATGAAGCCATTCATTGTATAACTTGTATAACCTTTACGAACTTCTCAGTTTCATACTCTTTTAACGGAAGGCCAAATTAAATGCCTACGCAACAGTGGCGGAACAACGAGAAGGGGATTGTAAAATAGAAGCGCGTTTATCATCTCACCTATGCGAATGAGTTTTAAAGTTTCTAGAAGCAGCCTAGATGAGCTACTGTGCAACCAGCTTTATTACCTGCCTGATTCTTTAAGATTTTACACTTACAAACCGCCGAAATTGTGGAGGTATTGTATGCTCTACGCAAAGAAAACATTGTCTTGAAGAACCCAGTGCAAAAATTTTTGCAAAAATATCAGGTTGGTCCGAAAATCTGTGCAGTTTTCAGACTTATTATGGAATGGTTCGAAAAGATAGACAAACGCTCTCAAAGTACTTGATGCAGAATTTCTTTCCTTTTAGGCAGATTTGTTCTAAGTTTTGATGACCGCAAGATAGAAAAATGCAAGACAACGATATTTGGCTTCCTTAAACTAGCTTTAGCTTGTAACTTTGGAAGAATTTTTCAAAGTAGTCTTCATCTTCGCGAAATTATGAAGTACTCAAACGCCTTAGACACCAATAAACCCTCGGAATTTGAAGCTTACTAAAGTCGTCTATGATTAAACACTGATGTACAATTTTAATGAGTATTTACCACTTCGGCATGTTGATTTTTGAATTCTCAGGAAAAAACAACTCAAAAAGAGGAAAACAAGTTTGCATCGAAAGGCACCTGAGTTGCTCCCTGTCTGTTATGGGGTTTGAAGATGACTAAATGTGAATTTGGGAGCATCATAAAAATCTTCACATATATAAAATTCATAAAAGTCATGAAATCCGAAAAATGCCTTGTCTTGCATTTTGTTTACTTTTTATGATGTCCAAAATGATATGACACTCTCATACAAGAAATCATATAATTATCATACGCGTTGTCATCAGAGTATGAAGGCTTAATTTGAGCGATTAGTCGACCATGGGATGTACAGGATAGATGTAATCTCAATCTAGTTTTACACCGTCTTCTACCACGCCCTGCTACTACCAAAAAACTTGCGAGCCTACCTTATAAATTTGTCCACCCCACCACATCTCCACTCGTATAGGCGCTTCCCTCAGCAGAAGAACGTTCAAATATCTTGAACTTGGTTTCGGTAAGTCATAATGGTTGAAGAGACTTCCATGAAAAAGATAGGCAGAAGCGCTTTGAGTGCTGAAATCACGCAAATACAGCATCGGTAGCCGGGGCCACGATTTCTAACTAGAGTTTCTCTTCTTGTCTATCTATGAGTTTGCACTGATAAGCACATCTTTCTGCACCGGGCAGAAGACCTGTTATTTCTTCATCACAACGTGTCTTCTTCCTCGGAAATGTTGTCCAAAAGGCAATAAGTGGCATAGCCTGAAGCATGTGATGCGCAAATGAGATGTCTGACCAAGAATTCAAAAGTTTCAAAGCAAACCATGTTGTGCGCCTTAGCAGCTGCACTCATCGCGTTTTGAGCATTGTGCAAACGATACAGCGTAGTCATTGCAAGAAGACATAAAATTAGAGCATAAACCTTGATATAGACTATCATATCATAGAATGAACGAGGTCTTTATGTGTAGGTCAAAGGGTTGTGTAGCCTGCAGATCGTTGCCTGGAAATGTGCGAAAGGCAATTGTTTCATAATGAGGCCAGCTGCTTGACTGCTGTATCTAGCTGGGATAACCGTAAAGAGCTTTCGAGTTGGCCATTCACTTTTCAATCAAGCTTCAGACTCCGTTGATTACAGGCAGCATGACTCCATTTATAGAAGAAAAAGTTGAGAAATGCTGAGAAAAAGTTCGCTTTTCAGAACAATTTTTAATCTCACGTCTCCTGCCATTTCTTTGATTCAACGAGATTAGTGGCTGGAGGGACCGCTCGCACCCGTCTGCGTCCCTCTCGCGAGCGTGTTCTATGATCATTTCCTAGCCTTGTTTAGACCTTGAAGCTCCGCCCTTCAGCCGCCAATCCCGTTGAACCAAAGGGTACATCGTATGTATGTGGACTACACAAACTCTTTTCAAAACCTGTTAAACATGTAGATATAATGTCAATTTTTTCGACACATGGCAGGATGTTAACACTCCTTCCTATGGAGTTATGACCACATTTGGTACAAGAAAAGATGCAGTATTCTTTTTTGAAAGAAAATGAATCCTGATAACGGAAAGCTACCGAAACGTGACATCAACTTGTTGCTAGGAATGAGGAAAGTCTAGACAAATTTAGGAATCGAAATGCAAGGTCTCTTGATAATAGTACAATATCATGTGATTTTTTGATAATATGCGGCAGAGAAATTTTTTCTATGATATTCATTAAATCGATTCAAAAGTTCGCGCCATATTTCAGGACCACGATCAATCTTAGAATGAAGATAGACAATGCAGAACATCTCTTTTTTCAGCAGTGATGTTTTTGCTTTTAGTCCTTTGATGATCGTTCGGACAATTGTCAAAATCTTTAACCCATGTTTTTCACCTACCACCCAGCTTTTTTATAATATCCATTTCAGACTTTCCAGAAAGTTTTGATAACATTTAGTTAGAGTAAGCAAGTTGAAAAACGCTGCAATTTTTTTTAGCATTTTTAACTTCTTCCAAAAAATCCCCAAAACTACTTATTTGTTGCTATCAAGTTTTGGGATACGCAAATTCCGTATTTGAGTATCCCAAAACTCATAGAACAGCAAATAGCGAGCATCCAAGGTGTTATGGGACGCGGCTTTTTCTCCTCTTTCCGATGAGTGTTTTTTCTTTCCAATTTGTAAAGTTTGCGAAAGAAGAGCATAATTCTCGCTTTTGACGCGTCCCAGGCTGTACCAAACAAGATCGAAAATCAAAGTTCCGAAGCGTCAAATATCTACTGCTTTAAAGAGTTAGCGTAATCATAATCGATTCTTAGAAATCTCAAAAGATTAACATAAAAGAAGAATCATTAGTCTTTGAAGCATTTTTATGCATTATACTTCGCAAAACTATAAACTTTTGGAAAAAAACATTTTAAAATGTTGGAAAGCCATTAAAGACGCCGAAAAAGTCCATTGTGACGCTCTTTGTTTACTATAAGTTAGAAACATCTTGATAATCCGCCAAAATTAAGGTAAGCGAAAACCATGGGTTGGAAATCCCGGCACTTCTCTAGCGCCCATCTCAACACTCGAAACAAAAACGGAACCTCGAAAGAGGAAGGGTGCAGTTTAGTTTGTCTATCTTTATCCTGAGGATTTGAGGTCTAAAAACGGCACGAACTTCCGGACCGACCTAATTTATGGCAAAGAAAATCAAAAAATAGACGTAAAGAAAGAAGTAACAAAACAGGTTTTTTAAGGGTCTGCTATGAAATTTTATAATGATAGAAAAACGTCTAAAGATAATCAAAGCACCAATTAGAATCTACGATGTAATCTTTGTTCCAAATCTGTTGAGGTCGTCTTCTGCTAATCTAGATATTATGTGCAGAGTTCCAAAACAAGTTAAATCTCAAGGCTGTTCATATGGTAAACTACCTGCAAAAAATTTTTTCCAAAAAGTTTGAAAAATCGACCGTTTTTGCCTCTAAAAATGCACCATTTTTCGAGTAAGTGACTTTGAAGTCTTGTCGTTCTGCATAGGGTAGACCTAATCTTTGATTACTGCGAACGTTGTTGGGGTAATGCCTTACACAGTTTTGGACCCATCATCCAGGCGTGACGATCCCCGCAGAAGCGACGCCAGCAGCGGAAAGAATTGTAGTCAGAGGCAAGTTTGACAGCTTGTAAGCTCTGACAAGGGAATGATGGTATGTCGAAGTGGCCTTCTGCGATAACTTTTTTACTATGTTAAAGGGCGTAAAATGCTGATTCCAAATCTGTCCTCTTTATCTGCGGTGCGTTACTGGACGAGGAGTTACGAGCGTATAGAGGAGCAAAAAAATGAGTATTTTTCTGGGATAAAACAGTTGCCAAAATTTTCTTAGCGCTTGAATGAGACAGCCCAAGTGCGGATATATCTCATCCAAGAATATTTAACTTAAAGAGTGTTGGAAAGTTTACCACTGGTCCATTTGCAAGCTAGGAAAAATATACTACTTTTTTACATTATTTGCACATTCAATTTTTATCTCCATTGAACGCTCAAAACTTCTCCTGCAGGAATGCGCCGCAGATAATAAACTCAGATTTGGAATCAGCGTTTTATGCCCTCCAACATGGTGTACTAATCATCTCATAAGGCCACTTCGACCAACCATCATTCCCTTGTGAGCACAAATCGCAAACTCGAGTGCAGCTGCGTGTCAGAAGTTAACAGGCTTCTCAATTAGATCACCCATGATTTGGACGAAATTCTTTGGGTTGCACAAAAAAATGGCCGTAGGAAGAAAAATTGTGAAATTTTTATAGTTGAATTCTCCTTTTTGATGTGCAGATCAAACACGTCTTGGCATCAATAAAAATCAGAAGCCGTATTGAAAACTTTAGGCTTTCCTTTACTGAATAGTACAAAAAACTTGGTGTCAAAGTCCGACCGAGCGCCGAAAAAATGCGTTTGAAAATGAAATTTCCAAAATGCCCGGGAACTTTCCTTACAACCTAATACAACAAGCAATTTTGGAGGACGCAATTTGATCAGTTCTCCATCGCTGAAATTTAGGTCAAGTTTTGCACGCTGTAGCTCAAAAACGTGTAGCTGAATGTTCTACAGGAAAATGTTTACCCACAAATGTAATTATTTTCGTGCCGTACGACAAAATTCTTTTGCGCTTCAAAGCATTAAAGTTTTTGTAACAGTTATAGCGCTATCTGGTGGTATATCTACATCGACTCAAATTGGACGTAGATCTTCCTTTGTGCATGCTGATACTTCTGACATTATCGAATTTCCTTTTGATAGAATTTGCCCAGTTTTATAAAATACTAGGATTTTGAAAAAATATTTTATGCATCAACACATCATGTACTATTTGACATAAATTGTATTTTTTTGTGCATAAAACGCCGCTAAGACAGTAGGTTGATACAAAAGAAATGAGAGTTTCGCAAATTTTTCAGAGACATCTCATGAATTTCAAATTCGTTTGAATAACTAAAACTGCGAAGAGCGTATCAAAGCTTTGATATTTTGAGGATCTATACAACACAATTTTTTTCGAAAAACTCGGTTTTGACAAAATTCCTGCGCCGAATTTCAATGCGACCCAACTTAAGAAAAAGAACTTTAGCTTACTCCGGTTGCAATTGTGCGCCCTATTCAAAAAATTACCTCCAGAGAAAATCTGATGTAGCTCCAAAAAATTTCACTACAAACTTTCATTTCCAACACTAGAACCTCTAATATAAACAGTTTTCTTTCAAAGCTTGCAGAATCATTTTGGAATTTGTAATAATGTCAAATTGCAAGCTATTATAAACCGCCATAAACCTTTTATATTCCGTAAAATATCGTCTATGATGTTATTCTCGGTGAGTATCTCTTCTCCATCAAATTTGCATGTAACTAATATGCATTCAGCGTAAATCGACAATCGGCTTCGGTGGTATTTTTATCGTAAGCTTTCTGCTTCTATTCGTCAATTATGATGCAAAACCTAAAACAACGGTCACCATAAACGCAGGTAAATCTGCTATCTGCACGAGCACATGGCTCTAAATAGAACGCAGAATAACCAGCTGGCTTTCCCAATCCCGCCCGAGCCATTCACAGGAGTGAGACTGTCTCCGTACTTGGCATTGGGAACTCACTTGAGTTTGTTTTCGTCCGCTGCATTTCGTCCGCTTTCGATAATTTTTCTTTTATGCCTGGCTGAAAAGGGAAGAGCGAATCCTTCTGCTCCGTTCAAAATATCAGGTTGTCCCATAAGTTCCGTCTGTTTTGGATTTCAATCGCAATAAATTATGAACTTCATGTTCCTAGATAGGTTTCAATGTACCGTTCGATAGAGCAAATCAAGCTTTACAAGAAGACGATCTCGCTTTTGCATCAGCTCTGATCCATCTCGAGTTCAAAGGCGAAAACTAAAAAGATTCAACTGGCCGAAAAATCGAGAAAAAATCATAACTTCGTTTAAAAAAATCCTACAAAAATTCTAACTTGCTCGCGTAAACAGTATTGACTTAAGACATTTATATACACTGTTGCCGTATTTTTTTTCCATAGTCAGAAGTCAAGAAAACGAAGATTTTCATGTTTTTGTTTAAGCGATGCTGTGCTGTCCCTACATAGATAGTTGTATACTAAGAGCCTGTAGAAGTACAAATATAGATTTTCAGCTCCCTATAGGCACTAGTTTTCGAGAAATATGGATTTTAGCGTTAGGCACCAAACTAAGGCAAGCTGTATTCGATATTTCTCGAGAACCAAAGCTTGTAGAGAGCCGATAATTTATGTTTG